GGCTGGGCTGAATGTTGCCCGAACGATCACCTCCTGACTAACTAAACCTTCCATCGCTGCTCTCAGCAGCCGGAGACAAACTCAAACGCACGCCTAACACACAACGGTCACCTACTGGCGAGCTAATATCTTTCAATTGAAGTCGAGAATCGCCGGAATTCTTACTGGACGCTGAGCTGAGGACGCTTTTCGACATCGAACATCACCACGGCTCGTCGGCGCGCTCGTCACCTACGGGTGGTGAACGACTTTGCGGAGAGGGGCGTCGCCCTCATCAGCGCGTTCTGCGGCGCCATCACGCGCGACGAGGAACAGCGACAGCACCTTCTGCAGGTCGTGGAGCGACACCGGGCGTTGCACCCGTGCGCGAAGTAGGCATGGGATGGCACGCACGGCGGATTTCGTTTTTTTTTGCGGTCTAACAGTGTCACTAGTGTTGATGGACATTATAGACAGATGGACAGATAGACAGATGGACCAGTTAACATGGACCAACAATCTCACCAGTGTTGAAGGATAACCACGGTTGCCTTTTTTGCAATACATGCGTTCCTGTCTTCCGTCTTTGAATTATTGCAAGTGCGAACTGAGCAAAACAAAATCCTTACTGTACGGGAGAAACCGTACTACCATTCAGCCCCGTAACATTCTTTCCATAGGGGAAACTTTGGTCGCTCTGCGGGACGGGATAAAATTATCCGATCGGAATAAAATTTTGCACACATCCTTGTGTCATAGTATCGACAAGATTTCCGACCCGGCCCGACGAATCCGACAAACTTTTCCAAAATGGACCACCCTACTGTATATGTATATAACGTCTGAAAATTTCAATCTTAATTATGGATTGTTTGACATGGCAAATTTAGACACATTTAAGACTGAAGAGTTTGAAAATTTTATTTTTGTTTTGTTTGAATTGTTTTGCCGTTTTCAGTCTTGTAATGACTGGAGCATGACAACAGCCTCAGAGCTGGAGCAGAATGGCGCCACCGTCGCTGTGCAGCCAAGGGACACCATGGCCAAAAGCCAAGATGACAGCCGTGAGGAGAACTCGCACCACCACAATCATTGCACCAGCTTTGTACAAAACACAGCCATTACGTGGACATCTCACAACACTCAGCGCAGCACTCAACATGCATTTTACACCTATATCTAGATATAGGTGTAAAATGCATGTTGAGTACACACACACACACACACACACACACACACACACACACACACACACACACACACACACAAGTTCAACACTTTTTGAAAGTGAAACCAACGTTGGATAGAGATAAATATTGTAAATCATGTAAACCTTTATTTCTTGCAAGTTGATGATCATTGCTTACAGATAAGGAAACCACCAATTGAATTGTCTCAGAAAATTTGAATGTTGCGAAAAGGACCAACGTTGGAAAGTCATGGAGTCAAACGAATTCAAATTGTTTTGGATATATACCGATGCTGTATTGTTATCCCCTGCCCTCTTTTGTGTTTTGAAACTAGTCGTGAGAATAACTCCTCGTTTCAATCATCTGAAGCAAGTCATTCGCATACTGCAGATGTGCAACTTCCAATGATATGATGGCTGTTTGTTTTGCTTTATCCAGAGCCGGAGGACGGGCCGAGCATTGATGGTTTGAGCACGTCGCCCAGAGCCACGATTGGTGAGCCCACTAACTCTGAACTTGCTCATGCACATCCTTGTCAAAAAGTTCACACTTGTCACAGCGTCACCAAACAGCCTTGTCGCTTTTGAGAGAAAGTAGTTCGGCCCTGTAACCCATCTGATGCGCCGCTTATCACATTGCCATGAGAAGCGCACGGAGTTCTGAATGCTCAAGTGATAGAGCAGTGTCTTTCACAGTTACACACACACACACACACACACACACACACACACGCACACACACTGGATGGGTTTGTGTACCTATTATGACACGACTAGCGCAGTGTATCATAGCAGAGTGGTCAACAAAAAGTATGGTGACCCCACTCCACTCTCTCCCCCTTCACTTCTGGTAAGCAAGCACGCCCCTACCCGGCATTCACCATTTATTACATGTGACCAAAGCACCCGAGAATTGCCACAGCAACCAAATGTCATGTCAGCAGTTACCAACGTGGTACCGGCGGGCACCAGGAAGCCCTCAAGGACGACAGGAATAGCCCGCGGGCCTATTCAAAAAATAGCTCACCAGTGATTAGACACTGTGACACTCCAGAAATATTGTGGTAGCGATCATTTCCAAATGTGAACACTGGCAGATATTTATAATAAAGTGTGGCCAATTGATATTGATCTGTTTCATAATTAATGTGTGAAATCGCTCATGTGATCAGTGTCTCCTCAGAAATGAATCTCATTCGCGGTAATCATTACTTACAACATATGAAGGAGGTTTGAGCAAATTTATTTCCCACCTGCATACGATCAAACTGGTAGCCCGTCGCATTAATCAGTTGCCAAGAAGGAGCTCTTAGTTTCAAGAAGGTTGGTGACCCGCATACTAGATTATGACTCTAACACGTCATCTCCAACACTTCATCTCTCATCCAGCCATGCACACGCCCTTTTTTTTTCCAAGTTTGTAAAGCTGTACAACTTAGTCCTCCGTCAGTCCAACACACCCAAGTCAGTTCATAAGAACCCATTACACATAGAACTAAAGCCTTTAAACAGAGACGTCATGTTATATTGCTTATTCTTATGAGCAGTGTCAACGAAACCAATGCAACCAGCTACGTACAATATTTTACTTCTGTTCAGGTAGCCTCTGGCTCCTTGTAATAGCTTCCTATTGCTGCATTTTGCAAGCTGATTGTGGGTTTGTCCTATCCCATTCACTAGATTCCATGCTATTGTCGTCACAAGAGCAATGGCAATCCAGAGGTGATTATTGTGACTCTTGTTTTTGTGTGTGCCACTTCTCTCTGCCATAGAAGCTTGGGTGTTTTGCCTGCCGTCTTATAGGTCGGTTACATGAGCCCAATCTCACTTTGCTGCTTTATTGAATATTCAGCAGAAACTCACAAAAAGCAAATCATCTGCTTTGACAAGCTATACGTCAGCATTGTCAGCCACCGAGAGAGAAGCTGAGGTGCCTGGGTCTGTCATTTCTACGTGCTCACTTCTTGGTATTACAACAATTTTGCTTTCAGCGTTTAGAATGTAAAGGCACCTGGACAAATGGGAGCCGCAGACATACGACAATGCTCATAGCATTGGCATGCGAGAGATGAAAGGATTCTCTTCTCCCGTTGTCAGTTCTCTGAATATACCGGTACTCTTTTTCTCATGACACATGTTCTTCAGAAGTCAAGCATGGCTCTGAGTAGAGCTGAAACTTGCTCATCTTTACTGACCTGCCAGAACGTCACAGCAAATGACTCATTGGGGATGTTGGCAGTCTAACAATCTGTTTATGACGCCTTGGTTTGCTGTCTCATGTTGGGAGTTCCTCACACTAATTCTTTCATGCTTCAGATAATATGCTTGACTTTATGAACAGGTTGCCCTTCATTTTACAGATGTTAAGCCAACCATTATTGGGAAGAAGAAGCCAATGGCTGCCAAAAAAGGGGTGAGCAAATATTTGTATTTCACCAATCCATTACACATCCAATATGAGTTTTGCCATCTTTTCTGATTAAGAAAAAAAAAATCTCAGCCATTTGGATGAGCATACATGCACTCAAGATCCCAATGGTGTTTGCTATGCTCTCATGATGCAGCTGGGGGCAAAGAAGGGCCTCGGTGCTCAGAAGGTGAGCAGCAAGAGTTTTTCGGAGGTGGAGAAGCAAGCCCAAGTGGCTGAGAAGATACGAGAGGAGCAGGCAGCCGAGGCAAAAAAACAAGCGGAGGAGTCCATGTGAGTATCTCGATGAACCTCTCGTGTGAAAGGTTGGGCTCTTGAAGAGGAAGTCGAGCATTTCAAAACTGTGCTGACCCTCATTTTGGCCTTTGCAGTGTGGCTTCCATGCGTTTGGCCTACAAAGAGCTCGAGATTGACCGAAAGCTTGAGGAAAAGAAGCTGAAGAACCTGGAAGGCAAGAAGAGGGAGCAGGCCGAGAGACTGGGCATGGGCTTCGGAAACAGGAGGTGACGTAACAACGCACACATTGTGTCAAGTCTTGTTTAATGCACTACTTGGCTTTGTGATCTTGCAGAGCCTGCAGGGTGACACGGGACACAATATTTAGCCAATGATAATATGGAGGGGCTGTGTCGTCACTCTTCGACAACAGACAGACGGATCAGCCGAGCTATGCTGCTTGACGGGTCATTTTACAGCGCTTACAGATGAACATTTCCCTCTTTTTTTTTTTTTTTTAACTAAGATCACATTAGCCCCACTAACTTAAAATTTTAGGAATTCTGGAAGAAAATTTAGCGGCATATTCATATTTCCCTCCATTACTGATAAATTCTATGTTTTCAAATCACATTTTTCTGTGCAAGTTTTGACACAAAATAAACCTTAAGCTGACCTTATGCAGTTTAAATGTAAAATTAATGTTTAGCTGCATGGCGCAAGGCAAGTATGATCAGCAAATTTCACACTCTGCTCACATATGCCGCTATCGGCAACAGAATTTGCAGTTTAACTGAATTAGTTTGTCTGATTTTGGTGCAGGCAGCGTTGGTTCAGCTCCCACTTGAACAGTTTAAATGTCAGCGTCAGTGGATGTCTGTCTCTCTGTGCTCTGCAACTGACTGGCGACCAGTCGAGGATTTTTCTTCTCTGGCATATGAGGTTATTGGGGTTATACTGTATATCAGTGCCTACCCAAACTACAGTATCTTAAACCCTCACAATGTGTGAAAAACTTGGCTGTCATTTTTGACTCTGAGCTTAGTTTTATAATATATATCAGTGCCTGCCATTATTTCATATTCATGAAATAATGCTGTAACTTTTAGGGATTAGTTCATATTTTGTGTCTTTTTCCTCTACAATTGCATTTATGGCTACGACTGTGATATAAAATCATTAAAATCAAGGCATTGCACACATTAATATTAATGTTTGAAATAATAAATCCATTGCAAAAGTATTCAATGTGCACAGACATTCCACCAATGCACGAGCACAACATGATTAAAAATATGTAATTCATACTTGAGGGCAGCGTTCCTCATACTTTTTAGTGCCACTGACCACTAAAGTACAGAGCGGAAGTGTGTCAACCCCAATAATATATTTTTTTAAACATCTGTAGATTTACAAGTCACACTTGGGTGAGTGGATGAAAGTTGTACTCGCGCTGTCTCATATTTTAGGGCCAATCTGGAGACTTGAATTTAATCATTAAATTATTGAAACTTGAATTCATCAAGAATGTGTTTTTATTTCTAGAATAAAAATATTCTAATTCAGTCATGGTACTCAGTTTGGTAACATTTTTTTAAACATACTTTACAGTTGAATGTTGTTCATTGTCTGACGCTGCACAAACTCCAAATGAGTGGAAAAACAGTGCCTCTTTAGAAAACTAATTCCCCTCACGTCATTACTATGTTGTCAGTGTAGACCAGGAGGGCCCAACTAGTTAATCGCGCTCAACTGGTTGGGCCGCGAACTGCTCCTAAGTCAACTGCAGGAGGTGTATGGGAAAGAGAAAAAAATCGAATTTCTTTAGTCACACAAAAATCCTAATCTACCTGTCCCTATGTGAAAAAGTAATTGCCCCCTGAACCCAATAATGGGTTGTGCCACTCTTGGCAGCAATAACTGAAATCAAGTGTTTGCGCCAACTGATGATGCGTCTTTCACATTGCTGTGGAGGAATTTTAGTCCACTCTTCTTCGCAGATTTTGTTCACCTCTGCCATATTGAAGGGTTTTCTAGCATGAATTGCCCGTTTAATGTCACACCACAGCATCTCAATTGGATTCAAATCTGGACTTTGACGTCGCCACTCCAAAACCAAATTGTCTTTTTTAGCCATTCAGAGGTGGACCTGCTGTTGTGTTTCAGATCATGGTCCTGCTGCATGATCCAAGAGCGCTTGAGTTTGAGGGCGCAAACTGATTGTCGGGTCTCCACCCCCCCACCCCCCCATGATTTTCTGGTAGACGGCAGAATTCATTGTCCCATTCCAACTGGTTTCATTCTTATCTCAGTCAGATGTTATTTTGTAAGTTTGGATACTTGTTCCTCCAGAGTCCATGAAATTAAATATGGGGTTTCTCAGAGCTCAATTTTAGGCCCAATACTTTTTAATCTTAACATGCTTCCTCATGTCAACAGGAGGTACAGGCGTCAGTTTCCACAGCTACGCTGACGATACACAACTATATATTGCCGTGTCTGTCAACACAGAGCCAATTGACACCCTTTGAAATTGTATTTCATATATTAAGTCATGGATGGCAGGGAATTTCCTACAGCTCAATCAGGACAAAACTGAGGTTTTAGTTATTGGCCCTGAAGATCAGGGAGAGAAACTTTTACCCAAACTACAGCATCTTAAACCCTCACAATGTGTGGAAAAATGTGGGCGGCATTTTTGACTCTGAGCTTAGTTTTATTTCTCATATTAAAAACATAACTAAAATTGAGGCCAGCGAGATCTGGATTGGATTGGATACAACTTTATTGTCATCTGGAGTTCTTTGGTTGTTGTTCTAGATTGTTTTGCAACCCCCTGGATGAATCGTCCTGGGAATGTTTGCCATTGTTCCCAGTTTTCTCCATTCATGGACAATGGCTCTGATAGTGGTTTGCTGAGGCCCCATAGTCTTGGAAATGGCTTTTCCAGAATGATAGATTTCAATAACTTTTTTCCTATTTTCTTCTTGCAATTCTTCGGATCGCGACATGATGCGTTTGTTTCTTGAGATCTTGTAGCCTGCGTCACTTTGTCTGACAGTTCCTATTTATGGGATTTCTTGATTCAACAAATGTGGTGCTAGGGTTTTTGCCTTTGAGATTTAACTCGGCTTTCCCAAAAATTTCATTAGTCACAGTTACTTTGTGATTTAACAAGGTGGGGGGTGGGGGAGAATTACAATTACTTCTTCACATAGACAGGTAGTTTTTTTTTGTGCTTGAATAAATTAATTTGGCATGTAGAAACTGCATTTTAAATTTCCTTCGGTAATCTCTGTGTGGTATTAAATTTTTTTTTGTTTTTGTTTTTTAAGTGCTGTGTCACATTCAGTGATGTCTGAGATGAAGGTGATTGAGCAGGAAACCCCAGTGGGAGCCAAGACCTCGACTCGTTCCAAATTGGACATGTTTGATGAGCCCGGTTTCACCTCTGGACCCCCTAAGTACATGTGGCATCTTCACTTTGCACCTCTTGTTTGATTTTATTTGGACACTTGACAGTAAATAATAGACTCCATCTTGTTTATTAAACTGTCCAGATATAAGGATAACCCATTCTTGGTGGGTGACAGTTTTGGATCGCGCTGGGAGACAGAAGGAGGGACCGCCTCCTTTAGCACCTCCTGGACTCTGGAGAAAGAAGAACCCAAAGAGGAAGTCACCATCTCCAGTATTCAGCCAATAGGAGAGAGGTATTAAAAATCACTCGTGTATTGGGCACCTTGGCATTAAAAAAAGTTAACTGTGATCGTATCCGTTCAAGACTTCCCAGCAGAAGAAAAGCTGAGGTGTCCGCCCCAGTGTCGGAGTCGAGCGAAGCCAGGCAGAAGTTTGCGAATGCAAAGGCCATCTCTTCGGACATGTTCTTTGGCCGTGAAAGCAACGTTGAGGTGAGCCTTTTCGATTGGGTCCAGTCAAAAACCTCAACTTTGCTAAACCCTTCCACACTGCTTGGGTGAAAGGCTCTTCTGAAATTTGACACCGGTGTCATGCTTTGACACTGACATTTGATGGTCTTTCCTAAAAATGACCGAAATACACCAAATGTGCTGGAAATTTTCAGTCAAATTCGACCCATGACTTCTGCAGTGGATTTTAGATTGTGTGATAAATCATGGACAATGGTTGAAATCTTGAGACTGTACTAGATAGAAATGCATGTGGGCCAGTGGTGACAGGGTTCAAGAGGGAGCTTGAAACTGCCATGTACTGTCTGTGTTCCCACCACGTTTGCACATATCTGCAGAAATGTGCAGAACTGAGCCAGTGAACTACTGTAGCCTTGAAGAGTATCTGTGGTTGAAAAGAAATGTTCTGAAGAAAAGGAAAGCACAGAATGTCTGATGGAGATTTGTGGCGATGTGAGTCATTGACTTTGGTTTCTCTGTGCCAGTATGAGGCAAAGAGCCGACTGGAGGGCATGTCTGGAAGCACGGCCATCAGTTCGGCTGACCTGTTTGGAGATGGCAGTGACAATAAAGGTACCACGCCTCACCTCTTGCAACATTCTCTTGTTACTCATCAGTCAAGGCACAGATTGACGCTCTGCTTTCGTTTTATTTCTTGCAATCCTGGCCTCAGGGCGCTCATCAGGCTTTGACAGCGTCCTTCCCACTGGTCCAGACATCACCCAGTTCAAGCAAGGAGTGAAGACGGTCGCAGGCAAGATGGCCGTCCTTGCCAACGGGGTCATGAATACCATCCAGGTGAGACTTGATCGTAATTCAGGAAATGCCCACTTAAATGAATGTTCACTCATATCTGTGCAAATTTTGTGTGGGCTCAGGATCGCTATGGCTCCTACTGAGCAACTTGGAGACACTGGCACCGAGATGACCGGCCTCGTTTGACTGGTGCATTTGGCCAGGGATGAAACTAGGGATGGGATGGATACCTTTCATATTTAAACTGGTTTGGTTCCGATTCTTGGTATCTGGGAATCGATACCGGTATTCAACTGTACCAATTTTCGGTACCACGGTTCTGCTGTTTGTGGTAATAAATTTGTCAGTTTATTCAACAGTAATATCAAAATCATTCAATTTAACAATGATTTTTCAAAATACAATTTGACAAACAACAAAACTTCGTGAATTGAAAACAAATGAGCCAACGAGGATAGAGTAAAAATAAAGGTTAACAATTTTTCAATTACAAAGAGCTGAAAAAAAAATGCAAACAATACATTAATATTTCAATATCCAAAGTAGAGGGCACGGTTCTTTGCAATGAACAATGCAAGGAAGCGCGTTAAATCATTTGTATTAGTGTTATCTTCGTTCCTTGTGTACTTGTTTTTCAAGAATGCACGGCACGCGATGAGTTGGAACCCAGCTTGCACCAAAATATAGCAACCAAAAAAAAAAAAAAAAAAAAACAGTTGGAAGAGGACGCCAATGAGAACATAGAGAATGACTGGAATCAAATTTATCCTTTGAATGTACCCAAACCGGTATTTGATGCTCGCTACATTTTGGCCACAAGATTTCACTACTTCACCCATATGACATTTTAAGATACGTAGTATTATGATGTATTAAGTATTGTTCAAAAACACAGTGCATCGATATTGTAACGATGGTGACGTCGCGCACCTTCCCAGCATTATTCGACTCCTTGAAGGAAGACGGACCTCTCTGTGCTGGCGCCAGGTAGGGGCAGATGCCGCGGCCGTGCTCCCTGCATGGATGAAAGCCAGGACCCCGCCGGCCCGTCCCTCTCAGGCCCACACCGATTGCAGAGACCCGGGGACTTCGGCAACTAACGGCCAGCGCCAGTACAGAGAAACCCCGCCCCACTTCGCCCTGCGCTCAACCAAAGCATGCTAGGAAGTGCGAGGCTTCACCATTGCTACAATATACTCCTTAAATTGTGTTCGTTTGGCTTGACGGCAAGCAAACCTCGCTCGCTTCCAAATCTGAAAATGTATTTTTAAATCCTACGCGAGTGGGTGACATCATTACTGTGGTGGATGTGCACTGTTGCGTTCAAGTGCGCCATGGAAAATCGCCAACCTTCGTCATCCCCCCGTCACAACTTCGGAAGACATGCTTCAGAACCGACAAATAGTACCGTTTGATTTCATGATAATCGGTGCTCAGTCGTACTGACTCAACTCGGTCCATACCAAAAAAATAGTACGGTCTTTGGTACCCTTCCCGAGATGAAACTGAGAGAAGGAAAGGCTTTGCATGAATAAAGATAATCTTCCTTCTCACTCCCCACCTTTTAGAGACTGTTGCTGGAGTGAGTCAGTATTTTGCTCTCTCAACATTTGAGTTTTTATTTTCATAAAGCAAACCACGTGTGGTTGTAGTCTATCGGAAGCAAGAGTTGTATCTAAAGTTGGACATTTTTTGTTTGGGTCTTAGATTTTCAAAATGTTGTCAGAGTTCTATATTTTCTTTGGTCTCTGATATATGTTAACAAATACTTCCATGTTTTGTCCTGTTTTGTCATTGTGATACTAAATAAAAAGGTGCAACGCTATATTTTTAGCATCACTTCGAAGTCAAAAGTTTGCATTCAGTGTTCAGGCCAAGCGTGTATCATTTTGCACAAAGCACTGACTGGTGACGATCTTCAGAAGCTGTGAGCTTAGACTTGTACATTTCTGTCTGATCATTAAAAGTCTGATAGCCTCGTCTTTTTCCCCCCTTGTTTTCAAGCATAGCACACACAATTTCACCAGTATGCCTCAAGCCACCACTTTGTTATACATTTTCCTGATTCCCAATGGATCCCTTTACAGTATTTACGTTTTTGCCTCAGAGTGATGATGATCCAAAACTACTTTTGTTAGTTGTTGAGCTGCAAAGAATCTAATCAAAAAACAATGTTCACAAGACGACTTGTTAACTGACACCTTGATATATATGCATCAGACTAAATGGCACTCCTCTGGAATCTCCACATTCAAAGTGTTCACATTGGTCGTTTCAAATGAGTGTACTTTCAGAGCAAAGAAAACAGACCGAGTAAAATGAGTTTATTTTGTTTCAAAAGGTCCGCTGTATGAATTAAGGTTAGAGTAAATGTGCAGTTTTTGATAGTTAAACCAGCTCCAAAAGTGCTTTTGCAGCGTCACCGGTCTTTGCCAAGTGATGCGCACCTTCTGGTTGCTGTCAACTGCCTCCATTACAAACTTGTCACCCTATTATCAAATCAGTCTGTGAATGTGAGCTTTGAGACAAAGGAATTGCTGAGAGTTCTTTCAGACTTTTTACGTGATTCTCAGTCATGTTGCTTCCTGTGGACACATTCTTTGCATTGCTGCAAACACCACAAAGTTGACCAGTCTCCACCTGGTGGTAACGCACCTTCATGAGTGTTCTGCTACAGATACTAAAAACTGCAGTCACATCGAGGGAAGTGAGAGGGGGTAGACAAACTGCGGAAAGTGTTACTAAATATTTATTACAGATGGACTCTGTGTTGTGGCAACGTGTCTACTTCCAACGGCTATCTGTTTTTTTGCTTTATCCCCAGTTGTAGAAGTAGATCTTCTGCCAGGTGGGCAGGTAATCCATGAGAGGTCCTGAACAAACAACCAATTTGTTAGTACGAGGGGCAACACTCAAAATAAAACAACCGCAACACTTCGTAACTAATTGTTTTGAGCCACTGATCCTCATTGACCATTCAAAGGAATTAAATACTTATTTATGTTGATATTAACTCTCATTGTAACTATTGCATCTGACTTTGTACTACATCGCCCCTGCTGAAATCAGAATTCAAAAGTAACTTGCAGGTGAAATTTCTCATTGTGGTGCAAGGGTATTAAACACCAGTAATTTGCTGTCAAGCATTACCAATACTTTGTGTCTGATGTAATTTCTAGACGACTCGAGAGCATGTCTCTCTCACACACACACACACACACACACACACACACACACACACACACACACACACACTCAATCATACTTAGAGTATTTGTCAAATAATGAGTGTTGAACCAAAACAGGGAATGTCCATCTCATCATGGTTCAAAAAAATTTAAACACCTGAATCAGGAGTACTTACGCGCTATCAGGCCTATTCCAGGAACATGCTTGGCCAGAAGTCGCAGCAGGAAAAGAATCTTTTCCCTGCACGTAAAGGAAAACTATTTTACTCCAATGTATTTAATTTTAAACAACATGCGACTTTCCTTTCATCAAGGACAGTCGCGGAAGATAGATTAGCGTGTCTGGCAGAAGTAAAAATTCCATAGCTGATACACGGACAAACACCAATGGCACATATTAGCAATGGGACTGTTGCAAACCAATTTAAAATTTGCCTCAATGACATCAGAATCTTTCCATTCTGATTGGTTTTCCAAGGCAAGACAAGTTGGGCTAGCAAAGGATGTCTGAAGCAATCTGCACACAAGAATACATTTCATTATACTGCATATTTGTGTAGTTTTGATGGTTCACAAGAGTTGCAAAGTGATAGTGCCAAATGCACTTTTTGAAACCACTTTTGTTGTGGACTTTTGCCTCATTTTTCTAATACGTATACCAGAAGGTACGTCTCTTCAACTTTCGGTCATTTCATATGATTAGTGCACAACTTGGGGACTCCATTGATTGAAAGTGGCTTTCAAACATACTCACTCTGAATATCTGTCATAGAATGGAGAACGGACAAGGTAGTAGAGTAAAAGAAAGGTTCTTCTCCTCATCTCCTCCCTCTCCCATCGGTTATCAAATATTCTCTCATGGAGCACGGCAAAGCTAGACAAGAAAACAGACCAAAAAAAAAAAACAAACAAAAAAAAAAAAAACAAACATAAACCAAAAAAAGAGGCAATGAAAAATCTGTGCACTGTTCTAAAGATGTCAAGACAAAAACAAAAACATCCTCACGCAAGGGTGTCCAAACATTTTCGTTTGAGGGCCGCATACAGAAAAAATGGAAGGCTAAAGGGCCACTTTAAAATTTGTCAACTTTTTGAAACACACCAAAATCAGTCAAGGAAGCAGTTATAGACTGCTTGTATTGTTTCATCAGCTTTCTGTTCAAGGCGTTGAGGCAAATAGTTGAGTTTTTTTTTCCCCTTGTTTTTGGGGTGGCCAACAGCCCTCGATCTCACAGAGTAGATGCGGCTCAGCACTTAACAGCAGCCAAATCCCATCTCCACATTCAGTACCATAAAAAGAACAAACTACCATAAAGTGACCAAACATTCAACACGTTACACAACTTAAAATAAAATAAAAATTAAAATTCTACAAAATAGGCACCCGGATAACAGCTGCTCATATCAATCAGCTTTATAAGGATTCATAAAGCTCAGACACTCCCAGTAAAAAAAAGAGGTGCGTGGGTGCCTATGAATTCCGTCCATTGTGCTGAGTCCATTTGGTTCCAATAGGAACCAACCCGAGAGTGACGGTTTAGACGGTTTTCAAAAACCGTTCCACCACTTACAGTTATCCTGACACCAAGTCGAAAATAACAACTGGTCCAGATACGAGAACACCATCGTGCAAAAGGGGAGATTTACAAACCTGGAAAGCTCCAGACCTGCGGAGATAAGCCATGGCTTCCAAGACTGTTTTCCGCACAGTCCAAGGCTGAGTACTGCAGTCAAAAAGGACGCATTGAGGACAACCACATAATTAAAGCTTCAATGGGAACAATCACATTTTTTTCAAAATTGTAACTTTTCAATTGTACAAAATTGTTTTTTTTAAATTTTTTCATTTATGTGACAATGGTGTATTCATTATGTTCATAAACCTTACGGGTATTGCATAACTTGCATGCTGGGTATTTTGCACTTCTTTCTCTCATCCTTTTACGGTATCTGATAGACCACAGCGCTGATTTGTCTGGAGCAGTATGAACCATAGTTTTTCGATATGTCACAAACAGGGCGGGGAAAAGGAAGTACACTTTATGCATGCGCATGTTTTATTTCCGTTTTGCACGGACGCAGAAACCGCCGTGTGAATGCAAGTGGGGCTGCACCAGGGTTAACACGCTTCTCTTTAGTAAGCAGCTTTATACGTGTGAATGCTCCACAACATTTACACCGGTGTAAGATGTGTCGCCACAAAATACATCAGTGCAGCACCGATGTATGTGAACACCCCTTTAGACAGCCCTGCCTTAAATGAATCCATCAGTGTTAATCCAAATTTGTCAACAAGATCTTACAGCATCTGTATCTGACAGTTTGTTGCCACTTTGTGATCAACACAAGTAATGCAGGGAACCTCACTAGAGTAAAAGCAACTAAACAGTGGTTGCTGGGAAATTTGCCCATGCATTTTTTTTTTATCCTGTTTAGCCTCATTAAGGGCTTTGGATGAGCTGAAAGCTCTGTTCACTGACTTGGGGTGAGTGGTGGGTTACACCCTGCAGTCGTCACCAGCCAATCACAGTGCACATGTAAGCAAACAGCCATTCATACGCATATTGACAACGTAGGTTTAGATCAGGGGTGGCCAAACCGCGGCTCGCGAGCCGCATGCGGCTATTTGGCTGGTTCAATACGGCTCCCGGGCTTTCACATGACAAGCGTCGAAAATGCCTTCGCGGTGGCGCTGACATTCAAACAACGGTGCTATGTATAGCAGAATTTACGATATCAGCCTATCATCAATCCCGTTACTTGATTGACATACAGGGCAACAAGACAACTGAATCAACGCTCATGCGCAAACGGCACTAAGCGCTAAGCTAATCAGCGAATTACCTCTGATTTTAAGGCACCTAAGCGATGCTGCCCGCTCAGCCGGGAGCCAGCGGACTGGTCCCAAGTCGACCGCGAGGGTTGGGAGGAGGAAATGGAGGGGGGGGACTTTGTGTATTTGTGTGTTTCGATTTCGTTCATGTTTGGTGACGTTCTGGCTGTCGCTCATCTCGGCATGCGTGGGTGCATGCATAACGCGTACATGTGCGTGGTTTGGCGCCCACGTGCTTGCGTGCGTGCATATGTGCACATGTGCGTGGTTGGGCGCCCGCGTGCGTGCGTGGGTGTATGCTTGCACGTGCGCGATCGGGTCGACAACGGGAAGTTCGCTGCTTCGAAAGTCGATCTGAGGTAAAATATGTAGCAAGCTGATCCAAGTAGTAAGTAACCACTGCAGCTTGCATGCAGACGGTGCCTGTTTTGAGTGGCTACAACGCAATACAAGCCAGATTTCAAGAGGATTGTTCAAGAGAAGGAAGGCCAAAAGTCCCTGCACTAAGGCTAAACAACATAGTAAGAGAAAAACGTGATTGTATTTTTTGTTTTCAGACTTGGTTGAACTGAGAGTGTGTGTGTGTGTGTGTGTGTGTGAGACACACAATATTCATTGTTGAAAATGACTGGCCTGTGGTCGTAGTACTGTAGGAGTCAATTTCTGTCATTATCATGTTGGTGTGTGACATTTACAATACATGTGGCTGAGCAGAGGTCTGTGTGTGTGTGTGTGTGTGTGTGTGTGACAGAAGAAGAGATGGGGTGATATTTATGTGTGCCCATGTGCATGATGTGGCTCTTTGCAGTAACACAGTAAATAAATTGACTCTTAGTCCCTGACTGGTTGGCCACCCCTGGCTTAGATCATGGCTATCAAACACAAGGCCCAGGGGCCACATCCCACCAACTCACACTGCTGTATATTTGTGAATCTCTCTCATACGTACCTACATACATACATAGAGATCAAGATCGAGAGAGAAAGAGAAAGAGAGAGAGAGTTTGTTCCGTTTTGTTTTACAGATGGTACAATAAGGAAGGATACAATGCACAAGAGGTCGACTGATGGACACAGTCTCGGCGACGGTCTCTTGCAGCTTCAAAGGTGTCGGTTTGCTGTGGAGCTTCTCTTCCCTCAAGTTTCGACTCCTCTTCTTCTCACTGGCTGCTCCCCACTGCCGGGGTGGCACAGAGGACGCTGCTACATCACACAGAAGTGGCAAAGTGGGAAATTAGCCTCAGACACATTGTAACTGTATTGACTCACATGCAACTATTTTTCCAAAGTGCTTGACAAATCTTGTATGATGCAGTGCAGTTCCACACCACTGTCAACCGCAATATTGTCATATACTGTTGGTAATTCTAAATCTGATTGTGTGAAAACTAAGTGTTATGACCTCTCTACAGGCAGAATATTTGATTCAGCTCATGTAACCTTTACACGAATTTACATGTTCAGTGCACATGCATGTAAGACTGTATGGAAATTGTTTTTCCATCATTTTGTCAGCGATGAGCTGGGTAAAAATGGAGACTGAGGGCTGAGCGATTTGGCCTAAAATTCACATCATGAAATAAATTGAATCATTTCATGTAATGGTATCCATTGTAATACATACCGTATATTCTGCGCTATACGGCGCTTCGGCTTATAAAGTGCACCTTCAATGATTGGCTTATTTTAAAACTGTCTTCATATATAGGGCGCACTGCATTATTAAAGCGCATTGAATAGAAGCTACAATAGTGGCTGCGGTTGCACTATGCATCCACTAGCTGGTGGTACGCTAAAGGGAATACAATACATCTTTGTTGATATAGAGCCTTCACAACTGCTGCAGCTGGAACTAAAGCTATGAGAACTGGTACAAACACGGACATGAAACATATCAATACAAATGGCATTCCAAAACAATAAATGAAAGACAAACGTTATGAAGACAACTGATTCAACAAAAAGGCACACAAACCTCGTGGGTTCACATCCACAAGGGGCTAAAATATTGTATAAGTCTTGCTTGTCTCCTCCTTCCTTCGTTTAGTAAGTAGTTAACTTAGCTTTTGGTATTATTTTCATTTAATAATGCCTGCGCAGAGCTCACAAAGTAGTTGCCTGAGTGTGTGGTGGCGAATAAACATATCAATTAGTGTCAAGCAGAACCCTCTAAGGCAGTGGTTCTGAACCTTGTTAGACGTACCGAACCCAACCAGTTCATATGCACATTCACCGAACCCTTCATTTGTGAAAAATAAAAATATGATTTTTTTTGGGTACAAATTCAAAACATAAAAAAACGCATTTATTAAAAACGAAAAAAGTAAACACAAAGATTAGTACAAGTATAAAGAATACATTTTTTAATTGTGCACAAAATGGTGGTTAAGATTGAATGACTGTGTGTCTTATGTGTAGTGTTTATTTATTTTGTTATTATGTTATTATGACTTCACGATGGCGCCACGAGAGTGGCTGCTATTACAGCAGCTCCTATAGTTTTTGTTCTTCTACTTTCTTCCTTTCATAAGTTTGCTGATGTAAAAAAGGTTTTCTTATTCTTATGAACCAGCCAGTGATGGCCAAGCGGGCGTGTCATAACTAATTGACATGTTGAGTCCTGTGTGTCTCAACCTCTATGGCAGGAGCTCTGTCGAACCCCTGAGACTGATTCACCGAACCCCTGGGGTTCAATCGAACCCAGGTTAAGAACCACTGCTCTAAGGTTACAAATGGTTCCTGCTAATAATCACCACTGGATGGTAAAGGAACACTTAACAGGGAAACAAGTCAATGGGGGATATAAAGAGAGTTACAGTCTCTTTATATTATAGGGTGCACTGTTGGCTTTTGGCAAAATTGAATGCTTTTAGGTGCGCCTTTCTTGTCCGAAAAATACGGCACTTAAGTATTAAAATTGTCATGGAAGTATCAAGTTATTTCAACGTCAAAAGTAAATTACAGTATTTCCTGTTCAAAGAGGGAGAACGGATCTGATTTAGTCCTCTCTGCTTCTTTAGATTCAAATTTTCATGTAAACATGTCCGATTTTAACAAGTCCGATTTTTCTTTTATTTCATTAAGAGGAGACTCATGCAAAGGTTATTCATTCAAATCATAAAGACCAGTAAATATAAACAAAGGTTAACAATAAGTGTGTCCCTTGCAGATAGCTCTGTTATGTTTTTGTTTGTATTCATTTTTTTAGTTCCGTTGTTTATTTATTGCACTGCTTAACTCTTTCATTCCACAAGACGTACTTGAATTAGGCCCCGCCTACCAAGGACGTACTTGTACTTCTAAGTCTTTGTTTTGCGGCATAGAGAGGAGGATGATGCAATCTGTGAATGAGAATAAGCCGTTTGCATTGTAAATCATGTAGAAAAGCGACCAGTAGGTGGCAGTGGTGCCTCACGTGCTTGAAATGCATGCTTTTACAAAAAGCTCTTTTTCTCCATTTTTTGCAGAAGAATCGCCATTTTCATGAAACTTAGCCATTGTGTAATAAGATAAAATAAGATATCCTTTATTTGTACAGTACAGTAATGCCGATTACTGAAGAATGGAAAAAGATTTTTTTTTTTCTGCTGAAAGAAGAGAGGCCAAACTTTATTTTGGTAGGCTCCATGTTTATACTGTATAACATTAGAACCAAATATTCTGTGGGCCTTGCAAGATCAGTCAAAATCCAGTAAAACGCTGGGATTGAGGATGTTGCTCCAGTAAAAATGGCTGGGATTGAATGAGTTAATCGCCACTGCCAGTGAGGTCAGCAGGCTGCGAAAATAATGAGCACCAAGCAACAACCTGTGTGCTCCCTTGAGAACCACACCAAAAGGTCAATATGCACCCCTGTCTGTAAGAATGATTACACTTGGAAAAAGTTCCGGTACTCTTTAGCCAGACATCATGAGGATCCTATCACCCAAATGTTCCAATTGTTTGAAAAAAGTCTTCATATGGCAAACTATTATGAGACGCAACAATTGTTACCCAATTCTTACCGCCATGCAGGGATCTGATGACACGGCCTGACCTCTGGCCTACAAAGCAGGCGTCGTCCTGCTGCTCCACACTCCCATCCTCTGTGCACAACAGGAAATGGGTCATCTCCTTTTGGCTTGTAATGAACCATGTGCACAAATGATTTGTTTGGTACAATATTTGGACGGGGAGGGGAGGGGGGTATTCGCATGTATAGTCAAGCACAAAAAGAAAACCACCAGAGTTTACACCACTGACCTTCTGCAGCAATTTCTGCACCTCGGTCAAGGGGGATGATGGGCGGTGAAGTCTGAATGCCCGATTTGTACCACAAAAGAAGCACAAGGCGAAAAACTGCCCTTTGGGAGAAATGGGAAAAAAAATTAAGTAAGCTGAGGAAGATCAGACGGTCAACCTGTGATTCCACTGCACTGCCTGGCAAATACAGCACGTTCAATAATACACATTTTATATCGTATACCGAAACACAATACGATAGTTGCAACCAATGTTACCTCTAATTTTCCAGGCGTATGAGCATTCCCACAAACCTCCCTGAGCATTCCTTGGACCACGTGAGCAACGTCAGACTTGCACATGGCGGCCAAACCAGTATCATACCTGACCAAAACCTGCGATCGTAACAAGTATGTGTGTGCGTGATTTTTTGCGCCTGTAATGGGCAGCATTTTTCGCAGCCCCGTTTTGCCCAGCGGAGATGGTGGCGCTGTTGGGACAGTCTGGGTTGGAGCGGCTGGATGGATGGCTTGTGGAGTTGAGGATTGTATTGTTATGAAAAAAGTCAAACCACCTTGCTATCAAAATAGTACAAATCATTGAATGGAGTTTTATGACACGAATAAAATCGACCCAAGTTTGTTACTTTTATTTTACTTTCAACATAATTAATTAAGCCAATCTGTTTTGTACATCTATGGTCCCACATTGTCCACTGATAAATAATGGCAAATATGTCATTTAATAAAACACAAAAATCGACCTAGTCACCTGACCTTTGCAAAGCGCAAAAGAGCCTCATTTAAGGGGCTGGTAGGCTATCTTCATGTTTAGACTTACTAAATGGAGGGGCCCGCACATCGCCTGCAGCCTCGTTTGTGGTGCGTGTGAGTGAATGTGTCAAAGTATGCAACAAACTATCGTAGAACAACTGTGTGCGCACCCTCGGTTGCACTACTGGAAGTGGGAATAGTGTGGTGTCCCGTTTGTTGATTAAAGTGGGGTGGAAATGAAAGAATGAGTGCAGAAATGTAGTGTGCGCGTGGTGCGCGCCAGCAGCACCGTGTGCACTGAGAGAGTGCGAGCGGTGCTCAATTGCTCATGTGTGCAGCTTAGGGGGAACATTGGTTGCAACTGGCCTTGCGAAGCATCCAGCAATTTTCTATTCCGCTTTTGCTCATTGTAGTCTCTGCAACCTCTCCAGCTGATTTCGGGGGCGAAAGGCATGTTACACCCTGGACCGGTTGCCAGTCAATTGGAAGACGCATGCAGTATTGGAGAAGAGTGAGCACACCCTTCACATTTTTGTATCTTACTATGACAACACTGAAGAAATGAAACTTTGCTTACAAAGTAATCACAAAATCTCATCACACAGTCATTCATGTCAAAACTGCTGACTTGATAATATTACAAGGCCTCAAGTGTAAATGGGAAAACTGAAATGGATTTAAGAAGAAAAAAAAAGAAAGTCTAGACATGAATCATATCCTCATTGTTTTATTTCATATTTATTGTGGAGGTGCGGCAAAATTATATAAAAACTCACAATAATGTACTTCTGTCCTGCCCAACCTTACATACAGCATGCCAATGTTGATACGAACTCAAAATTCAAATCCTCTTAAAAGTCACTTACTTAAAAATTTGAATGAGTCCGATGACCAGCCAGCAGCCAACTTCCCCGCACACCTTTTGGGTGCCCATCTCCAGGAACACCTCCACATACTCCAACACCGAGAGCCAGGTGAGGATTCTCTGCTCTGAGATGGACTTGGACAACAGAGAACAATTTTCAACATTACGGCGACAACTGCAAACGGACTCTTTTTCCACATCTACACATATCCAGGCTGCGACCACTCGACTTGTGCAAGCACAATCACGATTACAATGATTCATCCTGCTTTCTGAAATGAGACGTCTGGTTCAAGCTCTTTGCAGCAGTCTTTGCATCTAAAAGACAGTTTCTTCAAACATGTATGGCCCTTCATCATCTTTGAACGGTGCTCACCACAGTTAGGGCACACTTGAGCCCTTTGCGCAGAATGCTGTCATTAAACAGCACCAGGAGATTGGAAGCAGAATAGACTGGAAAAACAAACAGAATCCCATCAACATTGACACAGGTCAATCCTAACCTAAACGTGCAACAAATTGCTCTTCTGTCCGGTGTCAACTGTATGTAAATGTGTTCACTTCACATCATGTAAAATAAAATAGGAATTAAGTCAATGACATTTTGACCTCTTACCATCTGTTGCATCAGCCGAGCCATTTCTTTCTGTTTCATTCTGAGTTGGTTTCATTTTCATTTTTAGTCAGCTTGGACAAGACAAGAGACTGTTGGCTTTCCTTTGAGTCCATTTATCTTTGATAGTGTCTCTATTGCAGTTACAGGAAGGCCAGTTTTGCAATTTCTATACACATTCTGAAAATAATTGTTATAAAATATTTTAATTATATTTGCACGAATGTGTGTGCTTATCAAAACCTAAGAGGAGTTCCGAGCAAGACCTCTGATTATTTATATGAAACAAATGTGTATGTGTATATATATTTAGATTTTTTGCAACTACCATTTTCAAGATTCACAGCCTTAAGGTGATTTACAAAAAATGTCTTGTAACGTTCATTGCCACATATTGCATCATTCTCATTTCTCTTTCTGTTTGACATGCTTTCAGTTTCATTCTTTCTCATCGAGAATGGCAATTCTATTGAAAGTTCTGTGATGCAGGCGTGTTCCAGTAACTCCTTTAAATTTAATAATTTACTGAGTTATTTTAACGGCCACCTACTTACACGCTACAACATAGAATGAATACTTATTATTCTATTGAACCTATTTTACACATTTATGTTTGATGTGGCCACTGAACTGTACAATGTACTACTGTATATATTCTCTCATTTGCAAATTGTTGGACTGGAATGTACTTGGGACTGGCATAGTTAAGAATTACATTGATCGTGTGTAATTGATTGTCTCTTAAGCTTCTCTTGAAGCATCTGAGGCAAAATGAACTGCACTACTTGACTAAAAGCAGCATAGGCTCTGTTGATTCAGTCTTAACTAGTTTGCCTTCTAAAGAACAACATGATGTCATTTATGGGAAGATGAGCTACTGTATAGCCAGAAAGACAAAGGGCTATTATTAATAACACTTTAAAAAAGTCAAAGAATGAGTCAATTAATTGTTCATTCGTTTTTCCCCACAGTGGATCGAAAACATTTTGTGTCAAAATGTGCATTTGCCTTTGAATACTTTTTTTTTTAACCTCAGTCAGGAATGCACATTTTATTCATTGGCAGAGATTTAACTGAATAAAACAAAATAAATAAGTAAATTGAAAATATTAAAAATAAAGAGGCGAGGCAAAGCTGAGCAAAAGTTTCTAAACAACAGTGGTATCAAATAGTTTTTTTGTCACCTTAATGACATGCATTTTGGTGCCGACCAAATGCATGCTGAGTGCAGTGATTCCATTACAACTGGACTTTTGTGGTTGCTTAACATTTTGCCTCTCATCCAAACAGGCTTCAACAGCCCATGTGCCTATGCGCGTATAGCATTAGCTCAAGTTGTTCTATCAAGCCTATGAACATGAAAAGATGAAGCTTGCTTGGGTGGGACGAAAAACAAATTCTCAGACAACCAGGACAGTCTAGTTGCGATTGATTAACTGCCCTGGATGAAAGAAAATATTCACAGGCATACCACATACATTCTAACGGTATTTATGAGTAATCTATTCCAGCTGGCTTTGGGTAAAAGGCAGAATACACTACGGTCTTCTCGTCAGTCGGTCACAGGGAACATAATGAAAAAACAGAAATTTTCCACTCACATTCACACCATCGCTGAGTGGCAACGCTCCTTTTGACTACACAGAAGTCCAGCAGTGACTTGTATGATTTTAAATATGAGTTCAAATAGTTGTTAGTTGTAATATATGTTTTAGTCCTTTCAAGATTTCTTGTTGGCATGCGTAATTGAGTCAATTTTGCTCTCCCTCTATTTCCCATGATCCCCTTAAAATAGCTTATAACTACAGTAACTTTGCAGTAACTCATTAATCAATTTATTGAGCTGTAAGAAAGACGATCAAATGCCAATATTTAAGCGAGGTATAATACACTCAATCAAAGGGGGGGGGCATAAATATGCTGAATCTTGCAAGCTACTGACTTAGATTTTTCTTACCAAGTTCAGACAGCTCATGGGAATCGGCAAATCTTCCTGTCCGAAAAAAAAAGAAAAAAGAAAAAACAGCGTTTGATGATGATGGTTTCTTCAGGTGAACTGCATTTTTTTGTATATGTTAAGAATTGTTAATATTCAGGGAAGTCACTCACCTGCAATTAGGTAAGAGATGGTCCGAACTGCGCTCTCCACCTGGGCCGTTGCAATCGGATTCTTTGTCACATACTCTTTATAACGCTCATAAACCCGACTCACTTTATCAATGTGCTCTTTAAATCGAGACATTTTAGCACCAACTCAGATCCACACTGAACATTTAAAGGTTGTTCCAAACGCCGTTATTAAAAAGTTTTTTTTTTTTTTTTAAAAACTAGCGAAGAACAAGTAAACATTATTCACTTCCTCCTGTCGGACACATTTCCGAAAAAAGTGGTCCTCCCTCTATTTTAGTCCTGCTGCTCAAGTGCTTCGAAGGACATTGGTTCCGACCATGATTACTTAAAGCCAGGATTCTTCTTCCTGACACGTTATTGTTGCATCAGCATCCAGCAGAGTCGCAATGTCCACCTCAGGAGAGCAAGGTACTTTATTCTACTTAAACTCCTTTGTAGCGTAGTTCTAAAATAGCGTTTCTTTCACTCATGTAATACAGTAGTACGTAGCTTAGCACTGACTGTAAAATGTGGCCATGCCCAGTTTGCGTGCTTGACAGTTGTAACACGCTGAAGTAACTCTGACCATTTGGTCCCTGATGAAAATGTTTATATACAATTTTTATTTCGAAGTCATCACGTATTATATGAAGAATCTTTTAACGAACTACAAACCATTTTTGAAGTGATGACTATTTGTTGGTGACTATTCAGCTGTTTAAAATATGCACGAAAGGAATTTATCTTGAGTTTTTCCCTATAATTATGCAAGATTTTATATAACATAACCTTTAATAAATCCCACTGAGAACTACTTTGCTAACAGTAACACCTTATTGTTAAGATGCCGGCTATTTTCAAAGACATGTTTTTTCGGTTATAAGGTACTGCAAGTCACAAAATTTGATTTTCGGTAATCACTGGCAATCTGTCTTTGTTGTAGGCTCGATTTAAATCTTCATTTTTGATGTTTTTGCTTGCTCCCATCACTTATCGATTGTTTCGGTTTCATTATGACTTGTCTTCATTTTCGTTCTTAGTCAATGGAGGACGCCCACAGGCAAACGTTCGGTTTCAGTTTTAGTGTGCAGGATGGAGCAAATGTTTTTTTTACCCGCCAGGGATCCAAATAATTGCTCAGCTTTCTTTTATTGGTTTGTGTCTGTTGACTTCAATTGATGTTTTATTACGCCCATGGTTTATGCTTTGGATATTCGTAATCATATTATGCCCTAATTTTCTGTGGAAATGACGTTTCTGTAAATGCACGACCAACAAGATCTAATACCTTACAATTTATCTAGAACAACTGTACAATAATGATGATGGTCAAAATATGAAAATTTGTCGCATTTTATAGTCATATAAGAATATTTTGATTGCTCTTAATGCATTACCTGTGAAAGCATCTTTTTTTTTTTTTTAGGGTTTTTTTTTTTTTTTTTTTTAAATCATAAGGATTAAAACTTCTCATTTCTGAGCCATGAAGGTGCGTTACATTGTGTGGTACCTTCTGTATTTTGTAAATCTACAATTCACAAAAGTGAAGAGAAAATATCGCTGCGCAACAGTAATGCATGTCATCATATCAAAGATGAAATCAAAGTACAGTAGATGACAAACTGCAGTTTGAGCTGCTGCTTAACTTTTGTGAGGTTTCTGCTCATTTCCTTCATTTGCACTGTCCCTAATTTTTCCTTGACTGGTTAACCTAATCTAATCGCAGCTGTCCAGGGGAGACCTGTAGGGGTGTTTCTGTTTGTTTCAGGCTGCTGCAGCCTAGTCTTATCTGCAACTATTTGCTTTCTTTCTATCTTGCAGCCTTTGAATATGGCTTCTTGCTCCAAATAAAAGAGGATGCCGCACTGGCAGTGGCACTGAATGACTACCTAACCACTCGCAGCTACCTGGCTGGTTTCAGCCCTTCACAGGCTGACCAGAAAGCATTTAAGCGTCTCCACAGGCCCCCAGACCCACAACATGTCCACGCTCTGCGTTGGTACAGACACATAACATCCCTGCAGCAGGACCTGAGCCCAGACAGCAGCAGTGAGTAGACAGTCTAAGATGTGAGAAGGCTAGACTTGTCTGCGGAACCAGCTAGGGTGTTGAGGTCCTCAGGCAGGGGAAGTGGTTAGTCAGCCCTTCAACAAACACTAGCACTAGCAGCATGCATGTAAAGGTCAGGTGTTGAGATATTAAAACATTTTTGTTGGAATGGTTTTGTTTGCAGCATTTGCACACAGTTTGAAATTATGGTTGAAAACTTTAGAGTGCTGAAGATGAAGACGTTCAAACACACACCCCAAAAGTATTTGTTTTCGACGGGTAATTGCACAATGAAATGGGCAATAATTGAGAGCGACAGAGTTTATTTTCTTGTTTTGCCTCAGCCACAGTAGCTGTTTTTTTCTGTTCACTGTCATTCAAAATCTGCATTTTTTTCCACTTCTTCCGACCTTGAGTGTGCCGGTGCTTGTATGCACCCTTGAAAATTAACTGATGATCACATGGTAATTGTTTTCAAGTTTGACACAAGTTTTGATCTGATGCAAGTTTCATTATAGCGTTGACTCTGAATCTAGTCAACTATTTTCAGTCTTCAATTGGGGGTTGCATGGCTCAGTGAACCCTGAGGTTTGCAGGCCTGAGGATTTCGGAAATTCACGGTAACCATTTTTCGGTTCCGTCGGATTACCCAATGGGAAACCACGGTAACTAATTTTGGGTTCCGTAAACGTTCATCATGGGAACCCATTTTTCTATTTTGACTGATATTCATAATCAAGAATTTTGAAACTCAAAAGTATAATTTTTCAAGGGTAAATGTTTGAAAACTATGCATTAACAATGAACATTACATCAGCAACAGCTGTGTACTCCAGGTTTATTTAAAAAAAAAAAAAAAAAAAAGGATCAAAATATGATGTACTCATATGGCATCATGAATACAACATACCACAAATCAGAGTATTTTTTCCAGTCTCACACTGCAAAGATTAATTTACTGGTAATCATTAATACAGGTAAGTATTGATGTGGCTTGATGTCCTCTTCCCAAAACGATGCATGTGTAATCTACTATCAATTTGACGAAAGAATCTTAACACACGCCATCGTTAGTTCTACCGACACTTACTAGTATTACTACACCTTGTGACGAATGTTTTATTCATAAAGCTGCCATGCTACACCCAGTAAATTATAGACTAACCAAGACTGTTTCATAATATTTTTCATAGCGATTAGCCTATAGATCGAATGACCAACTTCAATACTTGCCTCGGAATCATGCCTCCCGTGCGAGATACGACGGGAGGCATGATTCCGAGGCAAGTATTCTCATGTTCTGTGCGTACATCACAGGTGAGTTTAGTGATACGCCCTTCAGACGATTCATACGAAAAATGTGACTGGCATTCCCATTTCTTAAATGTCATAATTAGTAGACCTTGGTGAGTTTTTTTCGCCGCCATCTCAAACTGTCATCCGCGCGCTTTCTCCATTTGCGGACTAAAATAGCAACCCACATGCGCACATAACGTTATCTGTTCCGCCCCCCAACACTGAAAAAAAAACCGAAAGTAAATTAGAAGAAACACACTCACACACCACACCACAAACACACATTCAGGCACAGTGAACTCGCGTTGCCCACACAGGAGACATGCGATCATGTACAGTCAACTCGTGTGCTGTGACTTTTGTGGGAAACGATTTTTCGGTACCGTCAAAATGACGCCACGGAAACGACACGCTACCGGTAACGATCGTAACCGTGAAATCCTCAGGCCTGGGTTTGGAGTTCAATCCCCGGCCATTGCAACTTTGCTGAAGTGTCCTTGAGCAAGACCCTGAACCCCCAGTAGCTACTGATGCTGTGTCAACAGTAAGTAAATGAGGAAACAGTGTAAAAGCGCTTTGAGTACCAAAGGTAGGAAAGTGACAGCCCATTTACCATTTACCAATTATTACCTGCAAGGACACACCCAAGGCACATCTTAAAAAGGTGTTCCAGTTCCGTCAGCTGTCAAAAAAGAATTCAAAACAGTCAACAGTGTCACTCTGCCTAATTGGCCGACTCCCTCAAAGGAGGCTGCTCCAGAGGGAGATTGCAAAGCCTGCTGCTTGAGTGGTCACCGTCAATCACCAACAGGAGAGATCATGGATGTTATGTATCAGGTTACAAAAATGCATACACTTGAGCGGTCAATATGTACAGTCATGTCACATTGGTGGAATGAAATTGGGGAGCGAAAAAGCACATCCTTCCTACTCTGTAATGCATGTGCACTTGGTTATTGTGCTCCAAAAAAGTGATGGGACTTGTACTTCATGGATGATTGTCTTATATCTAAACAAGGACCCAATTCATTTAGAATCCTTGTTTCTAGAAGGTGGACCGAGGAATGACATCTGTCCAGATCAGTGCTTGCATGGAATGTACGCCAAATTGAAGTAAACGTTGGCTCTTGTGTCATACTTTTGACCATCTCATTTCAGGGAAAGGAAAGAGAGTGCAGCCTCAGTGGTCTCCGCCATCTGGGACAGATGTTCCTCAGCTTCGACTCTACAATAGTCTCACCAGAGCAAAGGTATGGAAGATATTTGTTGAACAAAAAAATGTGAGAGAACTAAGCAGAGGTTTAGAGGGGATCAAGCTTTTTCTGTTGCTGGTCCGCTCTCTTAGGAATGACCTCCCACTGAACGTTCGGCAAGCCCCCTGGCTGCCCATCTTTAAAACTCGTCTTAAAACTCATTTTTATTTTTTGGCTTTTGACTCCGCATGAGAATTGATTTTTAGCTTTACTGTTTTTGTGCTTTCAACCGTCTTCGTTATTAATTTATTGTTTGCATGAATCATTTTTGCTCCATGTACAGCACTTTGTAGACAGCGTTGGTTGTTTTTAAGTGCTCTATAAATATAGGCGAGTTGAGAAAAAAAATGTCATTCTGTTCGGGTTGAAAAGACTTTCCAAAATTGAAGCAATATAAACCTCAGTTAAATTTGCTTAAATTGATTCACTTACATTGATTTCTGGACAAGTCAATTTTGGCCGGTTCATGACATAAAAGTCTCAAACATCCATTTTATTCCACGGTTCAAGGAATGCTCAGTTTGTGCAAATGCGCAGATAGGGAAAATTAGGAGGAACATTGAGTGACACTTTCATGCATTAAGTGTGTTCAGTGCAAACAATGTGCATTCGTGCAATATTAATTCCCCTAAAAACTAATGTCATACTTTTGCCGATTTCCCCTTTGAGACAACGTGCACATTATGATTTGTGAGTGAATGCTTGTTGTGAAAATGTCTGAATAAATTAAGAAACCGAACTGAAACTAAGGGTCTTGATAAGTTGATACAGTATTGTTTTCAACAAAATATGTCATCATCAGCTATTAACTTCTTTCCTGTGAAATATTTTAGGAGCTATTTGTTCCTCAGAATGGAAACAAGGTCACCTGGTACAGCTGCGGGCCGACAGTGTATGACGCCTCCCACATGGGACATGCCAGGTAGGCGCCACACAGTGAAAAGCATCCCGTCACTTGAGACCACACCAAAGCACCTACCTTTGTTCCGAACATTTCCGATTCCTGATGTCTTTCCAGATCATACATCTCTTTTGATATCCTACGAAGGGTATTGAAGGACTACTTCAAGTATGATGTTTATTACTGCATGAACATCACAGACATAGATGACAAAGTAAGTACAAGCTACAAAATGTGAATTTCAGTTTGTGGTTGTCTTATTCTCAGAATAGAAGATTTGAGTTAAGAGAAAAATATATAGCCACACTGACAGACTATCGCTTAATATGAATATCAGATTTTAAAATCCAATTTGCAATGCTGCGGGTGACTGGGTAAGGACTGTTTTCCACAAAGTGCCCGCCCTCCAACTATGACGTGACCGCAACTGGAGCCACGCATTGTTAAATTCGATGCCGAGGGGAAATATTCAAAAATCGATGTGATTTGAATGAAAATAAAATCTAACTGCATTGTAGTTTCCACTCTCGTTGAATTTGTGGTTGTAGTTCCCGCTTCAGTCTGTCCCCACTGATTTTCACTCCTGTTCCTGCCTAGTCCCGTGATTACTAGTGAAATTCACAACTCAAGGACGGCCAAACAAGGTGGTGGACACTATTCGAAACAGCTACAGAATTAAAACTGAATCCACAATAGAGTATATGACGATGTCTGTCAGCCATTTGCATGAGGAATTTGGCGCCCACTTATGGACTCACCCCCAAACTGGTTTTGCCTTCTGATGCTTCCGATGCAAACTCTTCCTCAAGCAGAGGTCACCCATGTCCCAGGAACGTATGGCTGCAGTACATTTTAGATAACTCACCAGTCAGATGGTCTTGTTTTTTTGTTGCTCTACTTTCACAGCAGATATTCTTCTTGTTCCTGACACATCATGGCATTCGCAAGCCTGTTATCTTAAAAGAAAAGAATATTAACCCTTTCAGGGACAGCGGTTACTACAGTGGACAGCTTATCATCAAGGGACTCTAATTTTAATTCGACTACCTGTTTAAAACAATCCGTCCGAGAAATTATCTGTACTTTTTCTCTCTGTCAGATCATCAAAAGGGCACGGCAGAACTATCTAATGGAACAGTACAAGGAGAAGCAACCACAGGCTGCTCAAATATTGAAGGATGTGCTGACTGCCCGAGGGGTGAGAAGTTACAGAAATAAACTTTGATGCCGTTATCAGCCCTAAGTTTGTGTGTCGAAACACGCGAAGATCACTCTTAAAAAGTTTCAAGGTGGTTACAGTGGTACCTCTACTTACAAACGTCTTGACGGTCGTAACACGCTGAAGTAACTCTGACCATTTGGTACCTGATGTAAATGTTTATATTAGAGCTGTCAAACGATTAAAATATTTAATCTAATTAAAAACGCAACTGTAATAATTAACTCAAATTCACTAAAAATTAATTGTGATTACTCACACATTTTTTATCGTTTCTGAATTTCCTATTTTTTCCCGTTTTAATGTTCTCATCAACATGGAATCATGGATCAGTTTTCTACGTATTTATTTATTTTTCGTTTCAGTAAATATTTCCTGAAACAACAATTTCGATTTTCAATTTAACATGAACATTTTTCACTTGGAGCAGTTATTCACACATAATCTCTCACACAATATTGCTGTCCATTCAGCCTATAGTGGATTTAAGCCATGGTTGCATACTTCGTTTTTCTCAAGTTTGCTTTGAACACGGCAGTCAGGCTATGTTGATTCTGTTGGTCCTTCTTGCTCGGAAGTCTCTCTACGGTTTTGTGTAGAGATCATTTCAGATGACTACACTTGGTTAGATGACAACACTGGAGACGTTTTATTTTCAGTGTGTTCGCTAGGTCGCTACCACTGCACCGCTGAACTCTCGAGGTGCCTCAGCGCACCGTCGCTGTCAGACGAACACAGAGAAGCTCCACTCGCTTTATTTATATGGCCACGGAACACTGTAACCTTCCACACAAAATAGTTCCAAACAAGTAACAATCGTGTCAGTTTCAGCTTGAGTCGAGCTGTGGACAATGTTGACAGGCTTGCATGCAGTAGCCATACATTTAGCTATGGCTTCAGCAAATTTGTTCTTCGTCATGTTATCCATTTTCTTCGCTTTGAAATTATACATAGCTGTCTGTCTGAGACGAGGGGGCGGAGTACTCACGTCAGCTGTGTGCTTGGCCATTCAGTGGTATTTCAGACTCGACGTGCTATGATGATAGCTCAGTTTACGATTGCAAAACATACAGGTAACTTTGGTCTTGTCAGTGGAACAATCTGGCAACTTTTTAAAAGTAAACTTTCCATTCATAAACTCTTAAAGTATCCGTTTTTGGTGTCTCGCGCTGCCGTGGCTGTCAAAACAAACGTGCGTGGACATGTGCAGCGCGCTTGCTGTTTTGTTTCTGGTTTATTTATAGAGCAACGTAACATCCGCTGTGACGTCTGCCGCGTTAATCTCGTGAAAAAAAATTTAATCCCATTAAAATTCATTTAAATTAATGCCAATAAAAACGTGCTACACTGACAGCTCTAGTTTATATACAATGTTTATTTCTAAGTAATCACGTATTATATGAATAATCTTTTGAAGAACTAGAAACTATTTTGGAAGTGATGACTGTTTGTTGGTGACTATTCAGCTGTTGAAAAGATACACGAAAGGAATTCATCTTGAGTTTTTTTCTATAATTAGGCAAGATTGTATATAACATAACCTTTAATGAATCCCACTTAGAACTAGTTTGCTAATATTAACACCTTATTGTTAAGATGCCGGCTATTTTCAAAGGCATGTTTTTTTTCGGTTATAAGGTATTGCAGGTCAGTAAATTTGATTTTCGGTAATCACTGGCAATCTGTCTTTGTTGTAGGCTCGATTTAAATCTGCTTTTTTGATGTTTTTGCTTGCTCTCATCACTTATCGATTGTTTCGGTTTCATTTTGACTTCATTTTCGTTCTTAGTGGAGAACGCCCACAGGAAAAACCTTCTGTTTCAGTCTTAGTGTGCAAGATGGAGCAAATGGTTGTTTTTATCCCCCAGGGATGCAAATAATTGCTCAGCTTTCTTTTATTTGTTTGTGTCTGTTGACTTCAATTGATGGTTCATTACACCCATGGTTTATGCTTCATCATATTCATAATCATATCATGCCCTAATTTTCTCTTCATACGAAATTTTCAAGTTACGAAAATATTGCCTCTTGTTACGAAAGAAATTTCAAGATATGAAAGGTAAAAACACAGTATGGCCCGCTACTCGCAGCTCCGAGTTTCCTGAACGCAACATACTTATAGCTGCTCTGCCATTGGCTATTACCGAGCATCTTCCTGGCATCCCATTGGCTAAGAGGGACTTCTACCGAATGTGTCTATATGTTTCTAAGCAGCGTCCTCATCATTCGCCCCTCGGGCCATGAGGTGTTCGATAGTTTTACATACATGTAAATCACCCAAAAAAAGTGTTCAACAGTCGGGCGATCGCTCACTATGCTGATGTTTGCTTTGGACATTTTCGAAGGATTGTTAAAAGCCAACAAAAACAAACGTCCTTGGATCAGTTCTTTGCAAAACGCGTGGCAAAAACCACTTCTGAGAGAGAACATGGACTAAAGAGGACAAAAAACGATGAGGACGCAGTTAAAAGTTAAATGAACATCATTTTTATTCTTTATTCTTTTTTTTTTTTTTTTTTACATTTTGCATAACTCTCATTTATTGTGCAATAATCGAATTGTAACATGTATTTGTTACATATTTTGATGCATGGAAAACGCGTCTCTACTTACAAAATTTTCTACTTGAGAAATTTCTCCCAGAACCAATTAATTTCGTAACTCGAGGTACCACTGTATTTGACAATGGGTTGGCAGTGGCTGTATATGAAGATGCTTTTTATGTTCAGCCCTTTCAGGCCCGTTTGGCCACAACTACTGACGCAGATAAGAAACAGATGCTGGAAAGGCTCGATGCCTCCATCACTGGTGCTCTAAAGCCTCTTCAGGCAGCGTTGGAGAGTAAAGCAGCCGATGATGTGGTGCAACCTCTGGCCCAGGTAAGACTTGGCCTTCGTTATCATAACAAATTCCTTCCTTTTTAGCATTTGAAAAATCAACTGTGTTTATGGTATAGCTTTTTAATTGATTATTGTAGATTAGGATACAGTTTCAGTATTGTGGTAAGATGTTTAACATGAAAATACATAAAGTGTATCTTTGCCCCTAGGCACTACTGGCAAATTCCAAGGACATGCTCTCTGACTGGCTGGACAGTCAGTTTGGAAGTGAAGTCACGGACAACTCAATCTTCGCAATTCTGCCTAACTTTTGGGAGGGAGAGTACCATAAAGACATGAACGCCTTGAACGTAGGTAGCAGGGCGCGGTTTTATTTGAAATGTCACAGCGGGTCACAAACCACTCTGGGCTGAATTCACTGAAGGATTGCGTGGCTTTTGCGTGGTGCTAGCCGGTGAAAATGGAGCAGATGAGTATCATTGATAAACAACGTCTAATTCACGAATGTCAGCGCTAATACATGCAGTTTGAGTGACGCCGAGATCATGAAAAACTGGCGCTAATCATTTGAAGCCTCTTTTGAGCAAGGGAATGCATTGCCAGAGCAGTGTGAGGGAATGCTTCGACTGATACACGTCATCCAGAATTACCCCATCAGCCTACCCCTGACACTAATACCCCCCCATCCCTTGTCGACCAAATAAATTTGTGCCGATAGACAGCAATTCAGCCCGGGCCAGTCAGATGAAAGGCCCATTCGCACCTCTTCGGTCACGGCCCAAGCTCACTCACATTCTGATCATTTATCTTTCTGTAATAACAATAGTAGCCTCATGCATTTTTTGAAGGCGCACTCAATGACATGACAGTGGTACAGTACATTTCATAAACAAACAGTAAACACTGCAATGAGAGAAATTAATTACAATTAAGAAAAACTGAAAGTGAAAGAGTTAGGTCAAAATGACGGGTGGAATAAGCAGGTGCGTTTTGAGTTGTGAAAGGAATTGATTGAAAGAGTCTCTTTTTAACTGGGCGCAACAAGCAAACTGCACTCAACTGTTAAACTTTGTGGGCGTGTTTGCGCTGGTGTGTCATGATCGCAATATCCTTTGTGAATTGGTTGTTCATTTGCAAACTATGGTTGCAAATGAAGAGCAGCCCTAACAGCGGCCGCTCTTCATTCTTTGTGGATTCGGCCCTCAGTGTCTATCCTGTAGTCCCCCAAAGAAAAATGTAACAATGGTATTGAAGCAGTTAAAATACAAAATAAATCTAGGGAAAAGAAGAGTTGCCAATGTCTAATAGAAATTCTTGTGAAAAAAAAAGACAAAATATTAAAAATATCATTTCAAATTGAAAGAGAATCAGTAAATATACAAATCCACGGCTGCTGAACCAAGAGTATGCGGTGCTCGACCGTACTGTGCTAAAATGATCTTTGTTCTCCAGGTTCTTCCTCCTGATGTCCTTACTCGCGTCAGTGAATATGTGCCAGAAATTGTGGAGTTTGTGAAGAAGATTGTCTCAAATGGCTATGGGTAAAGTGCAGTGTGCCAATGTTTATGGCTTTTCACACACACCCTTTATCATTTCACTGAAAATGGTAACAAGTAAAATGTTGTTTTCAGGTATGAATCGAATAGCTCTGTTTACTTCAACACTGCAAAGTTTGATGCCAGTCCACAGCACTCGTATGCCAAACTTGTGCCAGAGGCAGTTGGAGATCAGAAGGCTTTACAAGAGGGAGAAGGTAGATGAGAACATCCATCCGTCCATCCTTTTTCTGATCCGCTTATCCTCACAAGGGTCGCAGGGGGTGCTGGGGCCTATCCCAGCTGTCTTCGGGCAGTAGGCGGGGGTCAACCTGAACCGATTGCCAGCCAGTCGCAGGGCACACAGAGACGTACAACCATCCGCGCTCACACTCACACCTAGGGACAATTTCGGGTGTTCAATCAGCCTGCTATGCATGTGTTTGTAATGTGGGAGGAAACCGGAGCACCCGGAAAAAACCCACGCAGGCCCGGGGAGAACATGCAAACTCCACACAGGGAGGCCGGAGCTGGAATTTAACCCAGTACCTCTGCACGGTGTGGTTGACGTGCTAACCACTGGCCCACCGGGCCGCCAGATGATGACATATTTTGGAATTATTGCAATTCTGACTTTCGAAGAACCTGCATGGTATATGAATGGGACACTGTAAATATTCCCTCAGTGTGATTGTGATTGTGAGCGGTTGCTCGTCTGTGTGCCCTGCAACCGGCTGCCGACCAGTTCAGTGTGACCCGCCTACTAGGGATAGGCGCCAGCATGCCCGTGACCGTGAGGATAAAGCACTTGTACACGTGTGCCCTGATGAGCAACAGCCATAACGGCCTCTAAGATGAACGAAACAGAAAAATCAAGTCGACACAAGAGTTTATTGAAAGGAAATCACTGCCTCTCAAAAGCTAAAACTATACAGCGGCACCTACAGAGGTACAGTATAATTTTACAATACAATACATCCTGATTTATACAGTGCTTTCACAACAGCTGCAGCTGTAGCACAGTGCTTTACAAAACATAAAGTAAAATAAAAAACGCAACACATAACATAAAAACACGGACAGTCGTGCAATCTTAACAACTTTTCCCTCATGCGTTTTTGTTTGAAGCAGTTTTAAATGAAAGAGGAGAGAGTCAAAGTGTCCTTTCACCAGTGGATCAAAGACGTCATGCTCAAAATGTGCACACGTCGGCGACAAGCTAAGTTTGAAAGTAAAGAGGAAGCTGTAGCGTCCATTGACGAAAAAAAGAGATCGGTTCACTTCTCCCATTTCATGTAGTAAATCAGTTTCAATTCCAAGCGGCGACTCTCAGCTCCAAATACGCATCCGCATCCGTTCCACGCTAATGCTCCTTTCTCCTCATGCCGGGTCCACAAGCCATCCATCCAGCCACACCAACGCAGACTGTCCAACAGCGCCACCATCTCCGCTGAACAAAACGGGTTGTGAAAAAGGCTGCCTATTACAGGCACAAAAAACACAAACGCAGTCAGTCAAATGGCGCCGACATTCCTCCCAATCAAAATCAGTGCTGGTGCACGCGTGCTGCCGAGAAGGCGCAACCACCAAGCACAGATTCTTCTCCTTTGACGAATGTCGTGGCCAAAAACGCTTAAGACAATCCACATCGGGTCCACATGACGTTACAACAAACACCATGTGACAAAACAAAAGACCAAAAAAAAATAAAAGCAAGGCTCTTGAAGAGCACCTGCCGACAGCTGCCATACTACGGCACCATCTTGGGGGAAAAAAAGGTTGATCGCGATCATTCATGTTTTTTTTGTCTGTCTTGTAGGTGACCTGAGCATTTCTGCGGACCAATTAATTGAGAAAAGGTCACCTAATGACTTTGCCTTGTGGAAAGCATCCAAGCCCGGAGAGCCTTCATGGGACTCTCCTTGGGGAAAGGTGAGAATTGTCTCCTTTCTGCTTTCTAATTGAGAGCCTTTTATGTTCAATTGATCAAAGTTTGGAAACGATAAAGACTTTGGTCTTTTTAATGTTTTAATAGGGAAGACCTGGATGGCATATTGAGTGCTCGGCCATGGCTGGCTCCATGCTGGGGGAGTCTATGGACATTCATGGTGGTGGCTTTGATCTCAGATTCCCCCATCATGACAATGAGCTGGCTCAGTCTGAGGTACAAAAGTGATTTTTTTTTTCCTATCATTAATGTTAAAGGTTATGTGAAATATGTCCAGCTGCTTATCATCAAAGAGATCCAATTTGTGGTTTTGTTCTTCCTTAGGCTTTCTTTGAGAATGATCACTGGGTCCGTTACTTCTTGCACACTGGTCACCTGACAATTGCAGGGTGCAAAATGTCAAAATCTCTGAAGAATTTTATCACCATCAAGGAGGCCTTGGCAAAAAATACAGGTATATCTTTTTAGTTTTCTTTTTTCTCAGAATGAAATCGACAATTTCTATTGCCAAGTGTCATTTTACTGGATGACTGAGCATCAAAAAAACAACAGTGTCACACAAGATAAAATTACTGAGTTTTTTAAAGGCACACATAATTAGAGAGAATATTTTGACATTTAAAGGCACACATAATTGGAGAGAATATTTTGACACACTTAAAAATAAGATCATGTACTGTACTTTTAGTGTTCGTTTTGTTGTAGTTTTTTTAATTAATTTATTTTTTTTATGAGGTCAACTTTTATTTGTACCACTTTGCTCTTCTGACATTTGAGACATTTACACGCACAAAGGAAAAATAAAATATTACATTACCGTATATCAATTTAAGGACCTTAATCTGTTTGAGCTTGTTGGATTTTTTTTTAAGTTAACTCAACTCTACTGTATTTATATAGCACTTTCAAACAGCCATCGTTGGGAAGCAGCCCTGCGATTGGACGTGTATGAAAGCTTCAACTAATCAGATCACTGAAGGCATTATTTGTTGCGGAAGTCTTAGCTCGATTATAAACGGCCCAGCGATTGGTTAACTACAAGCGATTGGACCAATCAAATTGCATGTAACATATTGTTTTACCTGATTCATGGCGGCCTGTTCGTCTCGCAAATTCATTGTTCTGGGATCGTTTTGGGCGGAATTATGAAATTTTTGACGAAAGATCAGGAGTCTTGAATCCTAGAAATTGACTCAAATGTCAAGAATAAATTCCGATGGGACTGGCTTGACAGAAAAGTCACTGTAAAGGTTAAAATTGGGTCCCAGTTC